GTCAGAAAACAATTATTAAGCAAGCTTTTGGGTTCAAAAACCCTTTATCAGGCTAAGGAAGTTTCAGCAGTTGGTGTGTGCTCTTCCTGGATGAAATGAAAAGTAAAGAAGCCAGTTAACACGGGCACATTTATCTGGATTATTTGTTTGCTATTGATATTTGAATAGCAGTGTATTCCAGTTGTTAATAGATCAGGTATGAAGAGTCTTTCTTGCCTAAATGCCTAAAATATGTATATGAGAGTCCTTTTGATGCAATAAATGTGGTGCTATGTAGTCAGTTTATACTGCTGATGTTTAATACACCAAACATGGAACTTAGGCCCTGCCCTAGATTTTATGAAGCTTGATGTGTGTTCATTCCTCTCTCTGGGCCTTCCTAACTTCTGCATATTAAAACATTCCTCAAGCTGTCAACCAAACCTGTAGACTACTATGTATTATGTAAGCAAGCCAGGAGTACAAGAGGCGCAAAGGGGGGAGCCCTTAAAAGATTTTAGGCAGCAGTCTCGCCATGCAAGCTCATATTACAGAAAGGCAAGCAAGAGAAATCCGCCCCAGTTCTTTGAAAGCAAGCTGTTTGGCAGCTCTTAAACTAGAGCTGCCAACTGTTAAGCTGCAGGTTTTGCTGCTCCTGGCTAGATGGCCACATCTGCATGTGGCATGGAACCAAGGCAGCTGTTGAGATTCTTATGATTGACTTGATTCATGGAACTAGTACGTGCAAGGGAAGTGGTTTAATGACAAGGATCTGCTGCAAGATAAAGTTTCTGATCTGTATTTTGAAATCTACACATATGACAATTCAGCATATAGCATTTGCTACATGAGGGCTTGTATTGATTTAGCCACTGAGATCAAAGTATATAGCTAAAGCTAATGAAGCATATTGCTGAAACATGCATCCAAGACAAGGCATTCCAGCTATTTGTTATTTGGAAAGATCTGAAGTTTCAAGCTGCTTAATCTAATTAACATTGCTGCTGGGGGCTCAGGGGAACATATCTAACATATTACCTAATATGATGTGCTCATTTCCATACTATTGACCTTTTTTAACTGAAGATCTCAAGTTCACTCGGGGGAATACATTAATAGAAAATCTTTCTGATAGGGAAAGCCAACAGAAGACAATCTCCCTCATACCCCAAGATGTGTTTTCCCATTTTTTGAGGAACACGAGGATGTCGTGACTTCAGTCTGAAAAGGGTTTTCGAAGTTTCTGTTAGTAATTTTGAATTGTGTTCCATTAAACGTGATTATCACTAATTTTGCAAGATATTTAATTCTATGTTTTCCAGAAGTTGGTGGCATTTCAAGATTTCTCACCTGGTTATGTTTGTGGAAGTTTGTCATGCCAGCACACAATGTGAAGCTAGAGTTCAAATGAAAGCTCAGACTGATATTATGTGCTTGGACCAAAATGTTATCACTGAAATGTTTATAGCTAGCTACTGACAAAAATGGCCTGATATTTTCTTTCCAACAACCACAGCTCCTGCTGGCAGAAGTTGGGCCACACTGTAGGTGCCTGGGGTGATCAAGTAAGCTTTTCAGTTGCATTAACATTTAAAACTGACCTTTTTCTCAGAAAATATTCCAGAAAAATTACTTTATTTACAGGCCAATTGTTAAAGATTCTTGGCTACTTGCAGAATTAGACAAAGTTAATATACCTGAATTAGATGGTGCAGAAGCCAAGGGTTTTTTATTTGCTGTTTATCTAAATGCATAAACAATAGCTGCATTCTGTGATTCCTACTAAGCTCCTGCCTTTTCTATTTTCATGTTCTAGTTTTACAAGAAAATTAGTAATCAATTGGATTGACCAAAGTCAAACTTGTCAGTCAGGATTTCAACAGGAAGGTGTTTTTTTTTTTCTGGGCCCAAAATTCTTCTACTACTAGATCCCAGTAATTGTATACATTTTTAACTCCAGTGAAACCAGGGGCTTTTTAAATAGTTTCTAGAGAGGTCCCTATGACAGATAATTTATTGATGCCCATCTCTCATCTTCTAACCCTTATTTGCATGATTACATAAAACACATAGAAGTTTATCTTGCCATATGAACTCTGCTATATTATGGAAAAAAGCTATTTTTCTTTTGATTTTTTTTTCAGTTACAGAAAAGACATGCATTTCTATTTTCATGCTGCTACTGTCAACTGGTCTTGTACCCTTAATCACCAGACCACAAGGGTACAATTCACTTTTTAATCTCTGCAAAGGACAAGACATATTCTAAAGAGAAAATTCTACCTGTTCACTGTTCTAACCTCTCTGCAGGCTCTTCCAGCAAAGGGGAGATGTGTCCCCATTGTTAGTGCAAGGAATTACGGGTGTCTTGGTACTATGCAATAATACTTGATGTTTCATAGGCTCAACTCTCTTGCGGATTTCCTCCCGTGCTAAAAGGAATACGACAGAGAGTCAATTGTTTGTCTCAGACCTCTTTCATAGATTACCCATAAAGGGTGAAAGTGGTCAAAGCCTCTTTAGCATCTTTACTTGACTGGCATGTGAGGCATTCACTTAGGCAACTTAGCATTTCAAATACTTAATTCACCTTTCATTTATTCATCTGCTGAGTTCTGGCCATCCAGCTGGTGAATATTTTTTGGCTCCTGTCATTGGTTCATGCCAACCTGTGAGTTCCTGGATATTTTACTGAGATCCTGAGCTCTTAACCGAGATCATCTATGCCAAGGTAAGGGCTTGTTAGCTTTCCCATTGCTCTTAACATTTACCCTATAACCTAGTAATGGAGACAGAACTGACTGGTCTTCCCTGGGTTGTAAAATGTAATGTATATTTAACATTCTAAGTATCTGCTTTCCAACATAGTGTTCCACACTTTATATAGATGCTCTGGATGTTATTTATCTGACTTAATTCCATGAACCACATGCATCTTGCTGGGCAAGTCCTTGACAGCTATGACTAACAATATCATGGGAGTTGGTAGTTTTAATTCTCCAGAATTGCCCACAAATAAATGGCACGTGAAAGTCCTGAATGTCCCTCGTACTTACTACAATTTGAGATATTCAGTCCATTAATCTGTTTTAGTTTATCTGAAGTATTAAAGTATTTCAACATTATTTACTACCTATTTTAAATGGTTGTTCCCCAATTATGCACTTTACTTGAAACAATTTATTGGTGATAGGAATAAGGGGAACTGCTTTTTAACAATCTTAAATAACTTTTGCCAGGAAATATAGGCTTGTTACTTAGCAACTCAGAGATCAGTGTCTGGAGGCTGCTACTTAAAAGGTTTTTACAATAATGTTGCTGTAAATTCCATGAAATGTAGTCTAACACTTTAAAAACCTTTTAAGGATAATGTCTCCTGCATAAAGGTACTACTTAGCTTTTCATCATTTTTTCTCTTATGTACCACAAACTCAATGCTGATATACTACTTCAAGAATGATCATTTCTGATAGCCATGTGACTGCTTACACTAAATCAGAAAAAAAGAACAAAAAAAGAAAATAGCTGGTTAATCAAGTGAATTTATAATGCTGCTTTTATTGAGGAGAGAGGTTTTTTCTTTAATAAATAACCTTGGCATATGAAGAACTCTATTATAGCAATTGTGTGTGGCCAAAACAAGCAAGGGTAAGTTTAAAACATAAACAAGCAAGGGTAGGTTTAAAACATCATCAGCAAAGCTAACCGCACTTTATCATGCATCAGCAGATGCATGACAAATAGAACCAAGGAGGTGATACTTCCCCTCTGTGTGGCATTAGTCAGACTGCAGTTGGAGTACTGTGTCGTTTTGGGAACCATACTTCAAGAAGGATGTTAATAGACTTGAGAGGGTCCAGCGGAGGGCCACTCATATGGTTAGGGGCTTACAGGACAAGCCCTATGAGGAGAGATTGAGGGACCTGGACCTCTTCAGCCTCCACAAGAGAAGGCTGAGAGGTGATCTTGTGGCTGCCTATAAATTCATTAGGGAGATACAAGATGCTCTGTTCACCAGGGTGCCTCTTTGGGTAACAAGGAACAATGGTCACAAACTGACAGAGAGTAGATTTAGGCTAGATATCAGGAAAAACTTCTTAATGGTAAGGGTGGAGAAAATTTGGAATGGACTTCCAAGGGAGGTGGTCTTTAAGAGAAGGATGGATAGGCATCTGGCTGGGGTCATCTGACCCCAGCACTCTTTCCTGCCTAGGCAGGGGGTCAGATTCAATGACCTGTTGAAGTCCCTTCCTACCCTACCATCTGTGAATCTATATAAACATACATATTGCAGTTCAATGGTTTTGCACCAGTCAGTCATGCTACCGAAAACTTGAGACCATTTGACCTTAAGGCAGAAAATGAGTCAGTCTATGATCAGAACCTCTTTTGCAAGCTGACAGAATTAATGATACAATTACCATTTCCTTAATTACCGTCACCCAGGTTAGAAAAGAAATAGGAGGCAGGTCTACAGCCTGATCCCTGATTCTTACACAGTAAAACACAAGAATACACTTATTTTAAGTGTATCTAGTGACCCCCAACAGCCCAATATAGATTCTCAACTATTCCAGTTGGAGTTACTCAGGAGGGAGGTAGCTCACAGATATCTACACAGATAGGGGATAGCTGCCCTGGATATGAGTAGTCATGGCATAGCAAACCACATCACACCTAAGCATGTTAAACTGGTTCCAAAAGGTACCTTGGGAACCCAGAGCCAGATTACTGTTATGCTGAATGAACAGCTGTGTGGGAGCTCTGGTAGTGGCAGAAATAGCCTCCAATTCCTCTCCGTCACAGTGACCTGGTAATGCTGTCAGCTGGATGGTGAGCAGAGAGCACTGTCCAAGCACAGGACTTGCGTCATGCAGCTGGTGTAAGGGTAGATCCCATGTGCAATTGAAGTGGGAAGCATGATAGTTGCTTAACTGTGGGTTGTTCTCTGCATTATGATTCTGGATATTAGATGAAGGGATGTTAGCTAAGACCAATAATCACTCCAGTCTTGTTAGCGTCAATAGGTCAGTGTTGGCTTTCATTGTATGAGTAAGCTTAGTCACAGTTTGTACCATACTGATTAACACAGAATTCAACAGTTGAATAGCAGAGAGTAGGGTTCAAATTATGCAGTGTTTACACACCAACTGCCCAAGCAGACCTTGTAAGTTTGTTTCAGAGAGAGTGTCTGCCTTGATTTTTGTGCTAGTTTAATGACATAGTGTTTGTATGGAAGTATATTGTCTAAAGCAGTGGTGTCAAATACACCACATGCTCTGGGCTGGATCTGAACAGAGTATGTGTCTTGGCACTGCAAAATAATTTAAATGTTCCCACTTTTCTGTTTTTTGATGCAGGAGGCAAATGTGATGAACTGCAACCTGTTGCTTACAACTGACTTAAACTGCAAGAACTGCAAAATCTGAGGAACTAGCTACACTGAATGTAAGAAAGAAATATCCTATTGCATAAAAACTGCATTACTTGAAATGGGTTATAAGCAAGAATTTATTAAATCAAGCCTCAAGGTGAACTGCTTAACAGGTGATGGGAAGCTTCATTTCATCTGTCCAAAATAAGCTGTTTCAGAAAACAACTGGTTCTGCAGTATTTTGTCATCTTCATTACTTCTGCAACAGAGATGCTAAGATGAAGTACTTTTAAAGAAATTATATCTGAAAAAAATACACAATTTATAAAAAGCCTTATGCCGAGAGCAGACTTCTTAGATGTACTTGTGTAGCTCCCTGGTAACTTCTGTGGGAGCTCTGCAGGATTCTCTAAGATAAGAGTCTGGTCCTGGAATTTGCCTGCAGGACCATCATTTTACCCTGACGTTCCAAGAGCGTGAGCAAGACTCTCTTAGTTATGAGAAGTAGTGAAAAGTAGTATTTATTGTCTCCGATGGCCCTGACTCACTAACTATATGTTTTAGGAGGGAAAAGAGTAGCGTGCAAATCATAGAAAACTTCCTGTAGTCCAGTTAAATAGTTAAGTAATTAATCATAATAATATTTTTAATTATGTGAAATAAAACCCAACCCTTACATTTATTTTTCCTAACGGAAAAACCTAGTCATCACACCTGGCTCTGGGTACACACAGAACATATTTTGAAGGTAACCAATACCTCTATAATTGAATAATCTCAGCTCAAAATTCCTCTGTCAAGCCTGAGAGAGATCTAAACACAAGGGCCATCTCCTAAAGCATAGTTTCTCAACCTGTGGTACGAGACGTAGGCAGGGGGTATGCCGGTACCCCCACACTCTGTCACCCTCTTTTCCTCTCTCTCTCACCCCTTCCTCCTCTCAAAACTATGGCGAAAAAATTGGTGCACCATGCATTGTGCAGCGCTTTAAATTCTCCAGTAATAATTTGGTTCAGCCCTCCTAGCTTTGGCCAATGTCACCTCTAGCCCAAGTACATACTTGAGTTGTACACCCTTGGTGTAAAAGGTGGCAACCCTACCCACACCAGCTCAGACATCTGTCATATCATGGCCTTATATACACAGCCCTTCTTCCAACATATGGCACACATTAGTCTGTAAATATAAAATCCCTTTGAAAATTGAGTGTTATAGTACTTATTGACATTTTCAGAAGTTAGGGGCTACTTGCTACTTAAAAGGTTGAGAAACACTGTCCTAAAGTTCAAACCTAAGGCTAGTCAAGTGAGCAGAAGACTTAAATTCTTATGCAACAACACCTTTTTATATGGCTGTAACAATGGCAATCTTTAATCAAGCATGCTTGGGTTCTTTAGAAATACTCATATAAATGACTTAGCACTGTAAATCCCACTGACCTTTAGTCATTTAAGTATTTCAAGAATTCTCTCTTAGCTGAATATTACTGTAGACTTCAGTGTGATAAGCAGAGCAGGGGTTCAGATGAAGCTTTGCTGTCTTAGCAGCCTTCAGCTGCTTTAGAAAGTGCATGTTCAGATGCAAGTGAAAAAATTCCTCCAGATTATTAATGGAGATAGGATACTCTAATGAAGTAATGATTTTTATAATGGTTTCTACAAAAGCAAAATACTTTCTCAAAATATTTAATAGTTAACATACTTTCACAAATCCATCCTAATTGACTAGGGTCAATGAATAGGATCTGCTAGGATAATAATTCATGGGATCCTATGTTCAGAAGCAACAATTATGGATCATCTAGCTAGGTTTCCTATGAAAGGCTAGCCAAATAATCTTACAGAGTAATGTCTTTACCAAATCCTTCATTTCTGTTTGAGCTAGATTAAGGTATTAGATTCAAATGTAAAGATTATTTACTGTCCATACTTTCAAAGCATAATATTTCAGCTGTTTTTAACATATCCAAACAGAGCAATCTGTGAATGTTCAAGTCAAAAACAAGACACAGAAATAGTATTCAAACCAGCAGGGTTACATTAGTTTATTTAGAATATACAGTAGGCAGAATATGAAAATGACTTCCAGTTAGGTTAAAAGTAAATAGTGTTGTTTCCTGAGAATTTGCATCTAAATTAAGAATTCCTCATAAATAGAGATTAAAAATGAATATTGTTAAACAGAAACAAATTTATTTAGAGGTATTAAAAAAAAAAGCATTTCTTCTGCTCATTGTCGGGTTGTTTCATCTCTGTGGAATTTATATTGTGCACTGCTAAGTGTTTTAGATGAGAACTCTTCAGAATAAAGAAGGAAATCAAAACTTCATACAAGTTCAAGTGTGTGTACCTGCAATTAAGGTGTGGGCCTTTCGTGTTCCCTTTCATTAGATCAAGATTTTGCTTCACACTCCTTGCAGGTATGATTATCATGCCTAAAATCAGACAGAAAAACTGAACATTTGGAAAATAAAACTCAAGAGATTTCAAATAGGAATCCATAGTGTCAAAACTAGTTTGACCTGTTGTGGTCTTTCACAGTACTTTGCAACAGAATAATTGCTCTATGATTTTGCCATAGTCAAGAATCAAGTGAAAACTAAGAACTAGCATTTTCCAAGGGGTGCCTCAAGTCTCAAAAAGGTTGAGAACTGCTGCCTTAGCTTATTAATGAGAATGTTGTGGGAGTGTCAAAAGCCTTGATAAAGCTGAGGTATATTACATCCACTGCTCTCTCCCCATCCCACTACCTTTGTAATAGATGGAAATCAGGTTGGTTAAGCATGACTTGTATTTCATTTTTAACTTTTTAACAACATAACCGTGATGTATATACCTTGGGAAAGGATGTGAGAACTTAAATTCATATGGTAGCCACCTTTCTTTTTTCATTCTGTTTTCAACAACTATGTTTGCATCTAAGAATAAATATTCATTATGCAGTCAGAACAAACCTTTTATCTTCTGGACCAAGCGGTGTAGCATTTATGCTTTGAAACTTTTTCTGGCACACGCCTATGTATGACATTGTTCCAATGGCAAAACCTAAGACACCAGCAACTGTAAAAATACATCACACAATGTAGTTAGTATAAGAGTCTTAACTCAAGAGTCCAGCTCAAGAAGCCTACATCTTAATCCCAGGATTTTTTAAAAATAAACTACCTCTGTTGCATGCTGTTTTCCAAAACATTTTATAAACATATACAAAGCCCATACTGTAATAGGATTCTTTTCACCTACTACAACCATCTCATTGATGAAACATAACAGCTGTTCACATGTGAAAAACTGAACCCTATTTGACTAGAATAACAGGGACAATTTATATAAAAGCAGACTCCAAGAAGAACTCCAAGTGATATTTGACCAAGATGTTAGCAGTAACTGCTCCTGTGCTTTCAGAATGCACCATGGTGTTTTTTTAATGACTACCCTTTAGAGATGCATGATACACTTATCTGATATCAGATTGGCACCAATATAAAGAAAACTGACTGTATTGGAAATCAGCTTTTTTTGCCTGATGTGGCTCGTAATTCGGCCAATAAATGCCCCATGGATGTGCACAGCTGCAGCGCAGCACGTAGGCAGTGAGCAGCACAGCCCAGCAGCTTGGTTCTTACCTTCTTGTGTCCAGCTGGTAAGAATGTTGTGGTGGAAGGGGAGGGGCATGGGGGGGCAGATCAAGGCCCCCACAGTGAGGGAGGGAGTGGGGCTGGGGTAGGGTGGCACAGGGCATGGGACAGAGCCATAGTTCATCTGGGGGGAGAGGCAGCGGCTTCAGCTCTGCACACACCCTGAGAGGGCATGGGGGGCATGTGCACCTAGATCTGCTACCGGGTGAGGCGGATCGCTACTGCGCTGGTGCTGGAGCTGTGCCGGGCTCTTCCTAGTGGGGGCTGGGCCTGGCTGTGCTCAGGGTGGGCAGCATTGCTGGGAGGAGCTACAACAAATTTTAGGATGGCTGCGGCACCCCCCTGTAGACTCTTCCCAACGCCACTGCTGCCTGCCCCAAGTGCAGCCTGGCCCAGCCTACTCCGATAGAGCCTGGCGCAGCCCTGCCCCGCGCACATCCAGGGCATACGCCCCCCATACCTTCCCAGGGTGCATGTAGGGCAGGAGCTGCCCCTCCCCCGCTGGGCAGCCCCTGCCCCAGCCCCACTCCCTCACCTCAAGGGCCTCAATCGGTCCCTTACGCCCCTTTCCTTCCCTTCCCCCACCCCTTCCCACAACAACAGACCGACTAGCCAGACACTACTCTTCAAGCTGCCGGGCTGCATATCAGAAATCGGACTGGTATCTGCTGATATGCTACCTTAAAAATCAGCTCCAAAAAGCTCTATCGGTGCACCCCTACTACCCTTTCATCCCCTATAACTTTTTTCCATCACTGGGGCTTCACCATGGCTGTCCTATAATGGGCACTACTTAAATTCTCCTCCAAAAAGAAATGCTCCTTTTAACAACACAGTGACGGTTCCTGTGGCAGGGCACTATTTGTGCCTGCCACTTTAATACCTGGGGCAAAGCAGCCAGCAGGCGCTTAACCGCAGCAGCCATTTTAGAGCTCTGGCCACTCATATAAACAGGGCATTTTGTTGCTGGCTGGAGGTGCAGCAACATCACCTAGCTGTGAGACTTCATAGAATACTCTGGAGGTAAGGGAGGAGCTGTAGGGGATGGTCAGGAGGCTCCTGGTCCTGGGCATGACCTAAAACTGCACCCTGCCAGGAGTGGGTAGCCTGGTGGGGCTCTCAGTGGCATGGGAGCCCCCAGAAAATACCAGGCCAGTTACCACCCTGGTGAAAGGCAGGCTGGGGTACCTTAACCCCAGCTCCCACAACTGGGTGGGTTACCCCCTTGTAGAGCCTGGAAGGTGGACCCCAGTGGGAGAGTGGGGCTGTAGACTCAGAAACCTGTCTTGACATCCCCTGACTGGTCAGTGCTGGGGTCAGGACTGGAAGGGGTGAAAGGCCATGGGCCCACCTTGAGGAATGCCCAGAGCTGAGGGCCTGAGGTTCTGACTGGCCTGGAGGTGAGGCCAGGGCCTGTGTAGCCCAAGGTCCAGGGGGGAACCACACCTGTAAGGGGGAAGCAGCTCAGGGAGCTAAGTAGCCTAGGATGAAGGTGGAATAGGCTGCCTGAATGGAGGGATCCAGGTGGGGTTCAAACAGTAGGATTCTGAGGCCCAGAGTAGGGCTGGTGACTGTAAGAACAGAGGATGCCACCTGTGAGGCATGGGCTGTGGTGTAGAGGAGGTACGGAGCTGCAGATAACGCCCCTGGCATCTGGGCAAGAAATGGGCAGCCTCCTGCTTTAATTAACAACTAACTAATTATCATCAAGGCAAGGTGAGCTGTTAGCCCAGGAACAGGTGGGTGGGCCAGAAGTAAATCAGCCCTGAGAAGGCCCACCTGTTTCAGTTCCTCACTGAACCACTAATGAAATCTACTTCTCTTCTGGGAAGAGAAAAAAATGATGATGATGTTTAATTAGCTCGGCTGCTGCATACATTTAGTGCAGTAGAATGCAAAAATGGTCCTGAATTGCACATTTGCAATAAATAATTTGAGTTTGCATTGCTATTATTTTATTGATAATACTGCAGCAGTACCTAAATGAGGCCCCAGTGCAATTTAAGATCTTTAAGTAATATTATGATCCTGTTGAGGCCTTGCTGCTGAATTGCCATGTCATAAATAACAGCCCAGGCCCCATAACATTTAAAATATAAAAGACTAGGTATAAGAAATGGCTAAAACAAGCAAAATGGTGTGACTATAAAAATACTAGAATGCTTTGATATAGGCTAGCTTTGGGCCCAGTTGGAAAGTAATCCACAGTAACAATCAGCTGCCTAGCCACCATCAGATGATGGGGGTTTTTATATGCGTTATGGTGAAGTAAGATTTAAAATAGGCCCTGGCTTTCTAGATTTTGGCTGGGAGTTTTCCCCAAAGGTTAGGGATGGCTTGGGAATCAATGGCAGACAAGCAGATCATCAAGGCTGCTATCTGAAGAACAAAGGCAGGGTGGTTATACTATAGCACAGATTTATCAACTGGCAATACATACTTGGGGCAGGGATGACTGTTCACTTAGAACAGTTTCAAAGAGGAAAGGGGGAGCTGCTACTCTAAACTGCTATGATACAAATGTGGCAACTGCTCCAATTTTAACCCTGCTTCATCCAGGGTTGACTATTTAGCTCACTTGTATCACTAAGTGCTTGTAGTAGTGCAAGTGTAACAGCTGCTATACACTCCTGAGCAGCAGCTCTCCTGCCCGCTCTGTAACTGCTCCTAGTGAATGTTTGTCCAAGGCCTTACTGAAAAAAGTCTACCTTAAACAAACTTTACTTACTAAATCAGCTTGCAACCACAGTAGAATTCCTGTTACCTGAACTGCTCTGGTAATGCTTCATACGTGCAAGTAATAAGTCTGGTAACCTAATATTCAAGAGAACAGGGAAGTACCCTGATGGTTCACAAGAGAAGTCTGGATAGTAGAGGTTTGAGGAATTACTATTCCATTGTAAACTAGCTTACCCCAATTGCTCTGTCCTTTTTTAAATTGATCTTTAACTTACGTGCAATCTTAGGTAATGATCCAAATCTTGGGCTTGAAGTGAAAACACCTAAAACAAAATGTAATAGTTAAGAATATACTTCCCACTCCAGAAAGCTGCCACCATTGAATAACAGAAAATGGGCTTTTTCTAGCAAGCCTCTCTTCTAAGAGAAAAGACTATATAATACTTGAAAATGGAGTAACCTAAATTACCCTTCACAATGCATTCTGGTAATTCACAGTGAGGCTACTTGTGTGATGGCTCACAAGTGTCAGGAGGAAAAATGACTTATTCCACAATATAAGGAGCTGGAATCCACATCTCGTTCAATTTCTAGCTCCCTAGAGCAGCTGGATCTGGGAGCTAACAATGAGAAGGCCTGCCAATGCTCTTCATTGACCTGCTTTGGCCAGCGATCAGACTAGTGTTAACTGTCAAGAGGAAAAACCATGTTTACCCTCTTCCATTGGAGGAAAAAATGTCACTATGACATTCTCTCTTTTGAGAGGCTAAGATGGAGTTCATGCACAGAAAAGAAAATGGAAAGATTCCCACAAAATCCCCTTCCTCTCAAGTCATGTGACAATAATGGCTTATTTCTCATCTCAGTTTTGTAGGAGGATGTCATGACATACATTTACCTCCCCAGGCTGACTTGATACCTTCAGGCAACAAATCAAATGCAGCATCAGGAATTTTCCCCTCAATCTTCCAAATACCTATCTCTCCCTCTAATCTTTCCATTTATATCCTGCCTTTGCTTCAGAGCTCTCATGTTGCAGACAGCAGGTTAAAAGCCAAGAAGTGGATCTTCTGCAGGACCTGTCAATGACACTCCATAATAAGCATGAGTGGTCATAACCATGTGGTCACAACTGCATGATGCAACTGTCATGGCAAACTGCAGCCAATTCCAGAGGGGGGGAAGAATGAACCAGTCTTTCCTGGAAACTTATTTGCAGTACTTAAACTTTCATTAAAAAAATGTAGAGGTGCACCGATACACTGGTCTGATGTTGGATTGGTATGGATATAAAGAATATTGGCTGTATTGAAAATTGGCCCAATGGAGCCAATAATTTGGCCAATAAATGCCCATGCTGCATGCAGCCACAGCACAGCACGCGGGCAGCGAGGAACAGTCAGCAGCTTAGAGAGCTGCCTCTAGCTGGTAACACCATGTGGTAGAAGGGGAGGGAGGAGAGAAGGAGCATGTGGGGAGGGGGCAGATTAACACCTCCTGCGGTGAGGGGCAGGTATGGGATGAAGACGCAGCTCATTTGGTGGGGTGCAGGGACCTCCTGCCACTGCTTGTACCCTGGGAGGGCATGGGGGTCCTGTGCCCCTGGATCTGCATGGGGCAGGGAAGGTGTTGCAGCTATAGGCTAGAACTGGATTGGACTCTTGCTGGGGGATGGGCTTGGAGTGAGCGCCAGCAGCACTGGAAGGGGGCTGCAGCCACCCCAAATTTCACTGCAGCTCCACTCCCAGCGCCATCACCAGCGGCCGCCCCAGCTCTTTTCGGAGCATGGATGGAGGTGGGGGATTGAGCCAGGGCTGCACCAATCAGCTGGCAGTAGCAGCACTAGGAGCAGAGCTGTGGTGAAATTTGGGGTAGCTACAGCCCCCTCCCAGTGCCACCAGCACCTGCTCCAAGCCCAGTCCCTGGTGAGAAGAGCCCTGCACAGCTCCAGCTCCATCCTGCCCTGTGCAGATCTGTGGACTCCCCCCCACCTCCCCCTCAATGCCCTCCTAGGGCACAAGCCTTGGCAGGGGCATGAACTGCGTCTCTGTCCCACAGTCTCCAAACTCCAGTTGGATAATGCATGCCCTTGCCCCCTCTATCACCGCTGAGAACTCTTGCTCACTGCCCCCTCCCCCCGCCCCTTTCACCACACAGACTTACCAGCTGTAGGAAACTATCAGAAATTGGATTGGTATTGGCCGGTATGCCTCCTTAAATATCAGGTATCGGTATTGGCTCCCAAAATCTCTATTGCTGTATCCCTAAAAAAAAAAAAAAAAAAAAAAAAAAA